TTTTTTCTCCCACAGAGTGGTTGATGGGTTGGAACCACTGACCTTTTTGTTACCAGCCCAACGCCTTAACTACAGCCCCATCAGGGCCCCTCCATTAGTCACTAGGGAAATGCATATCAAAACCGTAATGAGATACTACCTCACACCCACTAAGATGGCTATTATCAGAAAAAAAAAACAAAAAAACAGAAACTAGCAAGTGTTAGTGTGAATGTGGAGTTAATGCTGGTGGGGATGTAAAATGGTGCAGCTACTATGGAAAAGTTTTTTTTTTAAAAGAAGAATAATTAGGCATTGTCATGCTTGGGAAGGCGTAGTGAATAAGATATCTGGCTGCTAACTAGAAGGTCAACACTTCAAACCTACCAGCTCCTCCATGAGAGAAAGATGAAGCAATTTACTTCCATAAAGATTTACAGCCTTGGAAACCCAATGAGGGTCGTTTTGAGTCAGAATCGATTCGATGACAGTGGGTTTGGTTTTGTTTTTGTCATGCTTTGGAAGTGACCTGCTTGCACAGTGGTTAAAGCACTTAGCTGCTAACCAAAAAAGTCAACAGTTAGAACCTACCAGTCACTCTGCTGTAGAAAGATATGGCAGTCTGCTTCCATAAAGATTTACAGCCTTGGAAAGGGCAGTTCTACTATGTCCCATGGGTCTGTATGAGTCGGAATCGACTCAAGGGCAAAGAGTTTTGTTTTTGCTGTCATGCTTGGGAGGCAAAGAGTGGTGAAGAGCATGGGCCCTGTAAACAGGCTTGTTGTTGTTGTTGTTATTTGCCATTGAGTCAGACCCGACTCATAGCGACCCCTCCTTGGGTTTCCGAGGCAGTATCTCTACGGAAGTAGATTGCCCCATCTTCCTTCCGAGGAGTGGCTGGTGGGTTTGAACCGCCAGCCGTCTGGTTAGCAGTCAAGCGTCTTAACCAGGCTACCTGTGTTCAAATCATGGCTCCGACTCTGCTAAGTTCTATAACCTTCTACATAATTCAACATGTCTATGCTTTGATCATCTCACCTGTAAAAAGGACTAACAGCACACACCTCATAGGGTAGTTATAGGGGTTAATGTGAAATAAATAGAAAGTGCTTAGAATAGTGGTTTGCATCTAGTAATCATTCAATGAACATTAGCCAATAATTAATATCATCAGGTACATATTAATAATTAAGCTGTTTTTAGGTATGTAAGTATTCTCAATTTAGTTCACATAAGAAGCTATGTTCATCAGAAAGCTATATACCTAAATCTTCACCCAAATCACAATAAATAAAATTTAAAAAAAAGAAAAAGAGAAAGCTATATACCAGAGTCTTAGTAACAGGTCCAAGTATAAGTTCACTAATTTTTTTAATGATAAATACTCAGGCCATTTTTTTTTTTTTTTAGGATTGATACATTAAACAAATAAACAAACAAGAAATGAAAAATAATCCTTCATTTGCTGTAAGTGTCTAAGACACTGTGAGTATTATTTCCTTTTGGAAACAATTTTACTTCCAAGAAAAATCTTCCTCTCTTGAAGAATTAGTCTGTGTATTTCTATTAGTAGGAGCTCTGGTAGCATGGTGCCTAAGGCACTTGACTGCTAACCAGAAGGCTGGCGGTTCAAACCCACCAGCCACTCCTTGGAAGGAAGGTTGAGCAATCCTACTTCCATAGTGATACTGCCTCGGAAACCCAAGGAGGGGTCGCTATGAGTCGGGGTCGACTCGACAGCACATAACAACAACAACAACAAATTTCTATTAGTACTGTGGTATTTGACAGTTCTACCTTAAAAAAAAGCAGTTTCATATGGTGCAACCTATTCTCAGCCTTCCTTTTTGCCTTAGCTATAAGGAAAATGAGGAGCTCTGGTGGCATAGTGGTTAAACCATTTGGCTGTTAAACAGCTTGGCAGTTCGAACCCATGAACTGCTCTGTGGAAGAAAGATGAGGTTCTCTGCTTCTGTAACAACTTAAAGCCTTGGAAACCCTGTGAGGCAGTTCTAGTCTGTCCTAAAGGGTTGCCATAAGTCTGTATGGACTTGATGGCAGTGGGTCTCGGTGTTGATTTTACCAGGAAAATGAGAACTAAACTTAAAGCTTCACCAATTTCCACCATACAAATACTTTTGATTAGCATACTTGCCTCTTTTTCATCAGCCTTTTGGTTATTTCCATTTTAAAAGTCTGAGGGTAAATGAGGAGCTCTGGTGGGTGCAGTGGCTAATTCAGCTGGTAACTAGGTCAATGGCTCAAACCCACCAGCTGCTTCATGGGAGAAAGATGAGGCAGTCTGCTTCTGTAAAGATTCACAGCCTTAGAAACCTTATGGGGCACTTCTGTGTACCACAGAGTCACGCTAGAAGTTGGAATTGACTTAAAAACAGTGGGTTTGGTTTTGGTTTTAGGGTAAATGTGTTCTGAAATATTTTTAGAAGCAAGTAGTATATAAAGGGTAATAAAGCATCTTTCTACCTATGAAAGTTATTAGAAAGATCAAATAAGATAATGTACATGAAAGCATTTTGTAACATAAATCTTAATAAATTTGAATCCACTTTTAATGCATTGAAAATTTCTGGACTTCTTCCTACAACTTTGTTTCTTTTAGGACTCCTTCTAAAATATAAATTTCAACACATAAATTCTTTAAGATTCTCCCTATAATGTTTAGGATAAGACTCAGCGTGCTTTAATAATCTGGTCCCTATTTAGCTCTCCAGCTTTACCTTCCCCGCAAGACCTCCTCCGTACTTAGACTCTTGAAATTCCCTGAATTTGTTATCTTATCTGCTCTCATGTCTCCATGCTCATCCCCACCATTCTGCCTCAATTAATCATCCTTCTATTTCAAGATTCAGCTCAGGTATCCTTTAAAATAAATGCCTCAGTTAAAACCCTATTTGATCAAAAGTATCTCTCACCTGAACTACTATGTTAGCTTTCCAATTAAGTCGTTGTTGCTAATCTATCATTTCTCTGGTTCATCAGGCTACCTAAATGAAAGGTCACATCGCTTCACCATGCTACTGACAAATACAAATCTCCTTTAACTCCAAAGTAAGGCCTAAAGCTGCATGGTATTGAAGACTTCAATATTAGGTCCAACACTATCTCATCAAATACAAGAAAAGAAATAAGCTATGATGGAAATGAGGGGAAAAGTACTTGTAAACCTACCATTTTCTTTTAAGGGTACTTGGGATGAAGAATTTCCAGAACTATGCATAGTCATTCCTGTGACATAAATTACATTATTAGACATTTTATAAAATGGTCAGATACTAGATAATAAATAAATTCTTCTGATAAATTAGTAAGAATACATCATTAAGACAGCAACATTTCTTTTATTTACACTAGGAAAATAAAGTCTTCCCAGACTTTATTTGGGCATTTTTACTTTTATAATGGGCATTTTAACTATTTTTAAAGTCCAAGTTATGCATATTATCTTGTAGAATAAATTTAAATGCAAATATTATTTCTGACAAATACAAAATGATAAAACAAATGAGTTTTCAAAGCTCATGTTAAAAGAAAATTCAGTATCCAATAAGAATGAATAATTTTAATGAAAACTCAAATGCAGAAAATAAATTCCTTTTATGGATGAATTTTACTCTATCTGGTTTTGTTTTGATGAACTGCTATGTTCATGACTTTTCTACTTCTGATATGTGATGGTTTCTTATTTAGAGCAAAGCCTTCCAGTAAAAATGGCTCGGAATCCCATTACAGGTGAGTATATTTGGAAAAGTGTCCTTTAAAAGATTGAATTTGTCTCTTTTTAGGCTATTTTCATAGGTCATCAGTCTCTTCTTGGCTATTTTTAGGAGATTTTGAATACACAGATTTACCAACAGAGTGAAATACTGCCTTTTACCTATTTTTTTTTTTTTTTTACTGATTCAACTGAAATTGATGACAGTGTAAATTCTGGAAAGTTGTGGGAGACACCTTAATAAATTAATCTTGATTTCCATATTTATCAACAATAATATAGAGTTCTCTTTTAACTTCATTTACTTTACATACTCCCAATCTAATTACAGGATAAAAAAATAATTCTTAACTTTGTGTAATTAGGGTTCAATTATCTAACCTTTGGGCCTAGGGAGAGAGTTAAGTAGTATTATTTAGTAAAACAACAACAGAAGAGGGTTTCCTTGTCTTCCCCCCTGTTTTCTATTTTGAGTTGTAGTCCAGACCTATATGCTTAGCTCTCTACTCCTTTGAGTGACTGACTCAAGTTCATTTTCCTTTGAAGATGCCCAAGGCAATAGGAAACATACACAGCTTCTATATTTAATAATAGGCGTCAGCAGGAAGAAGGTGAAGAAACATAAGTTGATTAAGAATTTTATCTACCAACCAAAGGACATTTTGTAAGAATCATAAAATTATATTTTTAGAGACAATTCCATTTATGTTAAACTGTTGTTTTTGCTGTTGTTATGTGCCGTCGAGTTGGACCCGACTCATAACGACCCCTCCTTGGGTATTTGAGGCGGTATCACTATGAAAGTAGATTGCCCAACCTTCCTTCTGAGGAAGGGCTGGTGGGTTTGAACAGCCAGTCTTCTGGTTAGCAGTCAAATGCCTTAAGGCACTATGCCACCAGAGCTCCCATGTTAAACTGAAAGCACCCTAAATAAAACTTTCTTAGAAAAAAAATACCAGCATTATTGGAATCCACTCATACAGGCTTATAAGGAAAATTCAAAAGAGGGTGCTTCAAAAGCAATGGTACAAGGCTGTATGTGTTTTTTCAATATGACTGCCATGTCTACTGTGGGTAGGAGGAAGCTAAATAATAGTCTGTGCCATCAAGCCATATTTTACTTAACTTGACATATTTTAAACAGCCTGAAATTTTGTGTTTATAAGCAATTTTGGCAACAAGACACAGAATCAAAAATAATTAGGTAATTAACACTGTCTTGTCCACTTTTCACTAAAAGCACAAGGTAGGGGAGAAAGAAGGTAAGCTTGTTTATGCTGACCTATACCATATGCTTGACCAGGGTCTTCAATGGATGAGTCTGATTCCTGTTTCCTCCTCTCAGGACTTCTATTTACACTTGCAACAGACTTTGAACTAAAGGGGGAAAAGGAAGGTAGGAGGGGGAAGTGTCAATGTAAAAAAAAAAAATGGTGAAAGTAATAAAATGTCAAAACAAAAAGAAACATATGAAATGTAGAATTTACAAATATGTAGTTTGGGTTAGTTAATAATGTTCTTACTTATTAAGTTTTGTGAATTCTGCCAGAGATTCTGTGTCAGATCTCGCCATCTGGTGAAATGGTTTTCCCACCAATTCCTCAATGGTTTGTGGTGGGGATTCCATGTTAACAATGACATTTTTCCGATGAGGAGAGAGAGAGGCCTGACTGAGATCGTGGTATGATTTACTCATCCCTCTAGGCTTTTCCTCCCAGGAAGCTTTGTCACTCTTCTCTTTTGAACTGTTCTGCAATGGCTGGTAAAGCGACAGCTCTGAGCAGGATAGTCTCTTCAGAATCTCAGCTTGCACTGACAAGGGTCGAACGGCCAGTTTGTTCAGTGTGCTGCTGGCCAGACTGCCAGTGCTGATTGCTCGTCCCATATTATATCCTCTAACAGACTCTGCTTGGAGATTCAGGCTCCTAAACGAAGCTCTCTCTACAAGGAAACAGGATTGCTTTACACAATGGAAACACTGCAGTACCTCGATGAGAAGTTATTTTAATAAAGGAAATACAGCATGCAGTTTTCAATCATTATGATTGCCAGCATAAGTAGGAAGCTTTCAAAGTCTGGCAATCAAAGATTTTTCAAAAGGCGTTTTGGAGATCCTGGTTTTCATACCATCTCTCCATCCTTTAGCTTTCTCATAGCCACAGCCTCACTTCCTCCTTCATGTAATGATTCTCTTGGATCTGATAATGATTGGGGGTTCAAGCTTACTACCCCAAATTCCCAATTATGGGTTTCAGTTAGAAATGAGAAAGACATCTGAATAGAGAAATTTTCAACCCTAGTCGTGTCTCTGCTAAAATATCAGCAAAGCAAGGATGGGGAGAGGGAGGGGAGAAACCTGAATGGGACAATGTGGTGAATACTTGCCTGACAAAGCAGTTGTCAGAGAAGCATTTCACCCAGAGAAGAAGTTTTATTATATTTTAAAAGTTTTAGGCAGATTATGGTGATGGTTACACAACTCTCTGAATATACTAAAAACCACTGAATTATACACTTTAAATGGGTGAAATTACATGGTGTGTGAATTTTATCTCAGTAGAGTTGTTACCAATAAAGCACAAGGCAAATTATTTCTTTTATTATTTCACCCTACTATGCTAATCCCACAGGCACACCTTGTTGACGTCATGTTTTAACTGAAACACGGCAGCTATAGTAGAAGCAAATATTACACATCTTTTTTTTTGGTTTCTGCTAATATATTAATATGACCACAGCACTGGGGGGTCCCTTTATGGTTACACTTCTTTCACTCCTAAATATGCATCCAAAGCCTTCTTGCAGTGGCTAAATTTAGAGATAGTTTTTAACTAATAGCTATTTTAATGTGTGAGGGCCAATGCGATATCAGTATTTGAACATTTGAGGTTCTTAACAGGAAGCATTATGCCAGAGAATTTTAGAATTTCAAAATCCTTTCATGTCAATAAAGAGCCAGGAGCATATATTTGAAATTTTACAGGTGTTCATGCTTTAGTGATCCACATTCCAAAGCTTCCCCTTGGTCTCCTGGAAAGTATCACCCCTGTGTTGCCCTCCATAAAGAACACAGTGTGACCACTATGAAAAATATCTGGGGAAACCATTTAAAAGAAAATGTCAAACACTGTAGTATCTCTATGAGAAGTTATTTTAATAAAGGAAATACAGCATGTAGTTTAAAATGATCTCTGACTTAGATCTTTAGATTCTGCTCATCTATTTTCCAGATCTTAGGAGTTTTAATAATTGATTTTTCATCTCGGGCATAAATAAGTAGGAAGACATTGAAGACATTTAATATTCCTGCATTAGAAGTTTCAACTAATAATCATGTCTCATTGGCTCCAGGAAAATTTACCCATCAATGTTCTTTCTCTGAAGTACAAGTGGACCATCAAGCTTAAAACATAGTAAATAAGAGCTCTGTTTAAAATTCCTAAGATGACCATAAATTTAAAATTTGGGGTTTTAATTAGCACAGATAGCATTATTTCTATTTTCTTTCACTTGAATAGTAGCCTTTAATCAAAGAAGCAAAACTGACTTTCACGTAGATTCAATTACCAGGAACTGCTTTTACATCCAACAGATTTCTTCACCCTTAAGGGAAATATAGACCAAACTTTGACAGGAATAATGGCAATCAGTTTAGTTTAGGCTACTTCTGTCTTGTGAACATATCAGGTATTATGCAGTTCAAATATATCCATAGCCTGCTTCTAGTAGGACTTCAAATACTGCATATGTCCAAGGGATGGGATGATGAACTGTCCACTTATCTAGTCTATCCCATTGTCTTTCATCTGGAACACACTCCAACATGGACTGTCAGTAGAAAAAAGGGCATCAGGATGAGCCTATATCCTAAAATCAATTTTTCAAATTTTAAGTCAAAGGCTTTTGCTAGTTGCATACTAAGTTAGCAATCCATACTACTTTATCTGATTTTGCTATTGTTCACTCCCTTGCACCACTGTGTACTTTTTTGTGTCTTCACCTTAATTTTATGGTCTTTTGAGAAGAGGTACTTAATTTGTTTCTGTTATCTCACAGTAGCTAACATACTATCTTATGAATAGTAAGTGCTCAATAATGACTTAATCTAAGTAAAGTGAATTCCATGCAAATTACTTCTTCAGAAACTCATTAAAAGAGAATACTGGATTAGGAATTAAGAGATTAGGGTTCCAGCCAAGGATGACCTCACACTAGCTTAAGGTCCGGCAAAACACTTTTCTGAAACTGTTTTCCTCATTAGTAAAATTTTGGACTTAATGGCCACTAAGGTCCATCTAGCACCAATTCTATGACTCTAAAGCAGTAGTACATGTTTTTCATCAACCTTCAGATGATGTCAGTTATTTTCACTTGTATAGCACATAGAAGTCCCTTCATGGCACAAATGGTTATGCTCCAATACTGATCAAAAGTTTGGCAGTTCCAACCCATCCAGATGGTCCTCAGGAAAAAAGGGCTGGCAATCTGCTTCTGAAAGGTCACAGCCTTGCAAAGCCTAAAGAGTACAGTTCTATTCCCCAACACATGGGGTCTCTGTGAGTTGGAATCGATTTGACAGTAAATGACTTGGAGTTCAGTACATAGTTAAGGAGGAAGGTAGTTACTTCTCACCTGACTCTAAGTAAAAAATAATTCCTGAAGTTTTAAAAAAAAAAATCTGGGAAAGGATGTAGATAGTGTGATCTTACTTAAATTTAAAATGCTTTTACATATGAATTTAAGGATAAATAGCTGTCGTGATCCTAGGGACAAACCTGTGAAAGTAAGAGTATTCCCATTTCATGGATGAAGAAACTGAAACTCCAAAAAGTCAGTTACTAAAGTCAGTCAGTAGTAGTGATGGTGGTGGTGGTAAAAATAGTAGCAAAAATAATGTTGACAATGGTGATGGTAATAATAATGATGGATATTTACTGAATACTTACTCTGCACCAGGCACTCTTCTAAATGCTTTGCATGAATGAACTCATTTTGTCTTCACAGCAATTTTAAGATGTAGTATAATTATGATAATCATTTTGCAGATGGGGAAACCACAGCAGAGAATCTAAGCAGCTTGCCCAAAGTTTCAAGGCTTGTAAGTAACAGAGCCAGACTGGACTCTGGTGATCTGGCCTCAGAGCGCATGCTCTTAACTATTATGTATTGTTTTTCAGTATCAGAAATATTGAGGATGGAAGTGTGGCTACACACGTTTGTCTTCTGGCTCTTTTCACTATATACCACGTCAATAATGATATAACTTTCAATTATGCAAATCTGGTTTGTATTAAATAGAATATTACTCTAAGTAGGAATGCTGACAGCTCTAGTAAGACTGATATTTCACTGTACTTTGAAAACAAAAAGAGCATACAAATTTTTAGCAACATTGTGAAAGAAAAGGCATAATGAGATTACTTTTTAGCAATGGTTATCATATTTTAGTATGCATAAAATTTCTTACTTAGGAAAGTCTGTTAAAATGTAGATTCCAGGGACCCAGTTCCCAAAAACTGTGATTCACCAAGTTTGAGATGAGTTCCTAGAATCTTCATTTTTAATAAGCAAAAGGCTTCACCCCATATGGATTCTGAAAGGTCTGAGAAATATCTACTGATATGATGGCCATCACACCCAGTCTTATCCTACTGGGAAAGTATTTTCTGTAAGATTTCAGAATGTGAGAAATTTCAGGTAAGGAATTCAACAGAGCTCTGTTGCACAGAGTCATTAGTGCTAGTCCACTAATTTTTTTTGTTCTAAATCAAAGTCTTTAGAATGTTTCAACTTAAATCTGCAAGAATTAACTGCAGAACTGGATTTCTGTAACTAATCTCTACATGAAGTCTTGCAGAGTAAGCTTTAAATATTTTTGTTCTGAGATGTTTTTCCCGCAAAAGCTGCTGTCTTTTCAAAAGACACTGAAACCACTATCTCAACTATTTTATTGTTAATCATCTCAACCTCAGAGTAGGGATGAATCCAAGTAAGACTAATAGGTGGAAAAGTTACTGTCCACAAACTGTTGTGGTTCACTATTTTCACTGTTCTCAGTGCACATATCACACCTCCTGCCCAATACCACTTTGTTTTGTATATTCTTTCCCACATTTGGAAAGCCCTTGCATTTATGTTCAACCTACTTAAATTATTTTTGTCTTTCAAATTCCAATTCAATTGTTACATCTCAACTACTCTAGCCTTCATCTACCTCTCCTCTTGTGATACAGAGTACAGAATCTGTTGGATATAATCTCCTATTATTAAAATCTTGAACTTCTATTATATATTATTGCTTCATGTATTTTGGAGTCCCCTTCCTAAGTAAAATGTAAGTTTACTGTATACATGTGCATACTACCTACATTGCTTAAACTATTGCTAAGCACAAGAGACTTTCTAACAGGTACTCTTTGACACTGATTTTCTGAGTATTATTTTCAAAATGAACATGAAGTTGAAACCTTAGCTTCATTTGTGACATCTTTATAAGGTGGACTAAATCACTTCATGTCTATAAGCCTTGTACTTTATCTCATTCTATGGGAGTTCTTTTAAAATTTGTGGCAAATACCATGCATACACCCTAGACACATCTGCATCTCCTTACCAATATCTTGGGCATCTTGGTTGCTCTGTCTTGCTCTCATCTGCAGCTGGAATTTATGCTGGGAGGAGCAGAGGTGCAGCAGGTACTGGCATACTTTACTGTTGTCTGTCTGGAAGGCGTGTTTTATTCCATCTGATGTATTTTGCAATGTGATTTTCTTTTTCTATAATATTAATTAAGGGTATTAATAATAAGAAAAAATTTCTCTGTGACTTTTTTATATGACCACATTATCTGAACTATAAGTAATAAGGTGAGATATTATATTTTTTAATACTAAACAAGAGTATTCCTTGACCTACATCTAATACAAAACTATAATCTTATATACAAAAAAATACAATATCACTTGTTACATTTTGAAACTATAGCCCAAATCAGACTATATATAAGTCACTAGCAAGAGAAATATGGTTTCTTTTACTGGCATTATTTATCTTTGAGTTTACAGAAATCTTTTAACAACATTAAAGCTATCTGAAAAAGAAATAATGAGAAATATTTGTTCTACGCCCTTGCGTAACAAAATCAAAATTCACCAAGAATTACTTTATTCATAATGACAGGAGCTGTGATGCAATCAAGTAGAATTTAGGTGGCATGAAGGCTGGGACAGCTGAAGAAAATGTGGGATTGGGAGAGACACTGGATAACAACTCTGCTGGGTTGAGAGATGAACCACATCAGTATTTACAGATAGTGATTCTTGCTCAAATCAGAGAAAGGCAGAGAAGCATGTATCAACTTTATCACCATGATGTTTCTTGAAAAAGGAATGCCTCCTGTGAAAGAGGGCATCCCCAAATTAATTAGCACTGACGTAGTAAGGAGGAGATCCACATGTCCTGAAAGACTAGCAATTGATATTCAAGTACCTATCACTAACGTGTCTGTAGAATTACTTATGTCTAGTTAGATTCTACTCTAGCACTTAAATTCTTCTAGTGTGCAATTTTTTTTTCTACTTCATGACACTTGCCTTTACTCCAAATGCAGAAATAGGTGTAGAACAAACAGATTTAGTAGGCTCACAAAAGGTAACAGAGTATCATATGAACTTCAGCCATTTAAGTACCACCTTCATCATTTGTTGTTGTTTATTTATTAGTTTTTTAAATGATTTTTCTTACAGATACAAATTCATTCCAATAGATACAATAAAAACAGAACAACATTATTAAGTTCTACCTAGCTACTATTGCTAATGAAATCTCTGGGTCTAAACCACTTCTCTCTTTGTTAAAAGAAGAAATCAGTAACTGTTAGACAGGAATTAAAGATATAGTAGTCCCAAACTAGTATCTTGAATACCAGTGGTATGTTGTTGTTGTTGTTACGTGCCATCAAGTTGGACCAACTCATAGCGACCCCTCCTTGGGTTTCCGAGGCGGTATCACTATGGAAGTAGATTGCCCAACCTTCCTTCCCAGGAGCAGCTGGTGGGTTTGAACTGCCAGCTTTCTGGTTAGCAGTCAGGTGCCTCAGGCACTATGCTACCAGAGCTCCTACCAGTAGTATGTTGTTGTTGTTAAGTGCTGTTGAGTCGTTTCTGACTCATAGCGACCCCATGCACAGCAGAACGAAACACTGCCCGATCCCACGCCAGCCCCACAATC